TGGTTTCGCGTACTTTCCGGAAACCGATTTCAATAAAACTTGGCAAATAGATGTAATTCCACGAACTTTTGAGGTCGGTTTTCATTTTTTGTTTAAAGTTATTACACTTATATTTGTGGATCCTTATTACGTTTCTATTTGTGAGGACCTCTAATTGGATCTCAGTTGTTATTAGTAAAATTCAATTTAGTTTTAAGCTGTTGAATTTCCTTTTATGTAAATAAATAAATGAAAATAATTAAACAGATATATAGTCTAAACGTACATTTTACTCGTTATTTAATTGCATAAACCATTGATTTACAATTATATGGACGTCGGGTCCGCGCTAAAAAGTGTCCGAACTTATAGGGCGTTAAAATCGTATACAGAGCGTCAGTCACGCTCTAGTCTTCGTTTGTTCGACTGACAGCGAAGCAAGCAAAATTAGACAGTACTGCGATGACATTACAATTTAAATTCAACGTATCAGCTTTTTCATATTCCTTGACATGTCACTACGTTTAAATAGGTTGACTTGGGACATTTTTTTCGTGGTTTTTGTATTAGACCCGTCGTCCATTTATTTGTAAGTCAATGGTATAAACACTAATTTCATAATTTTGATATTTCACCTTTGGCTGACTATAGCGACATTTTAAGATAACGTTATAAACGAGTTTTTAACCGACTTCAAAAAAGGAGGAGGTTCTTAATTCGACTATACGTTTTTTGTATGTATGTTACGCGATAACTTGTGAACCTATTTTGAAAAAGAGGGTACCTCAGTAGCGGTATTTGAAGAAAATATTCCATCTCTAAGGGTGGCAAAGTACGGGGATGAATGACTTTTGAGGTCGGTTTTTTTAGTAATCTGTACTGATTAAAAACAATGCACGTGTATTTCGCTAAGGTTGCTTTGATTCTTTGATGCTTTTCGATTTTTTCTACGATAGCGGAGTCTTTTGATTGACCTTACCTAAACGTTATATAAAAAGGTCTGATAAAAAAAAATTATGTTTCATTCGTATATCTACGATAATAGGCACAAAGAGAAACGAATTATCTGTTTTGGCATGGACGCAGTAGCGTAGAAACGCGTAGGCCAAACGGTTTTTTTCTCATTTTGCTCATCAAATAAGTATTGTTCAGTCAAAGACCTTCAGATAAGTAAAGTAACTGTATTCATTAATCTTGGTAGGGACTTAGAAAGGCAGGTAACAGTATACTACATATGCTATTGCGCGGTTTGTTCTACTTTACCAGGGCAGGGAGCGCAACATCCGACACGACAAGGCCCGGTTTTTATGGTAAACTTTTTGTTAATAATGATGTTGTTCTTTGATAATGTTCATTGGATAGTATTGAACAGGAACCAAAGTACAAATATACTTGCTGATCTTTTTACATTTCGCCGACCTCTGTTGTCGAGGTCTATGTAGAAATCCATCGAGTATATCCAGACCAGAAATAGAGACGAAATAAGGGCCATCCATTCCTGGCAACTTATCAGGCAAATTAACCTTATATAACCTTGTATCTCGTTTGCGTTGAGATCACAAACTAGAAAACTGAAATAGTACAGCGCCAACAACTAACCTGTGTATACTGTGTCTCCGAATATTCCAAAAATATTCCGTACTTATTGTAATAAAGATAATATCTCTAACTATGAGGTCTGTTTCATTGGGTGGTGTGGGAAAAACAGCAAAACATCTAATTACAGAACAAACGGAATCACATTTCATCGGTAATTAAATAGGCCCTTTACAGGTCCCATGGTCACGGTTGACTGACGTCGGTTTGTTTGAAAAAACAAATATACGCGATTTAAATCCGGAAAATTAGTTTCATTCCTATGTGTAACAATCGCGAAAACCTAAGAACTCGATATTAAATATGTAATTTTGTAATCTTCGTCCATTATAGCAAAGCTCAAGTTAAACTGGTCGATTTGAAGTGAAACAAATGACAACACCCGTCAATTGTTTCGAATTCGGGCTAGCCAATCGGAGCGCAGTTGTTCGAGTTGGGTGTTTGTGGTGCCGTCGTTGTTTCCGATTTAACACAAATACTTTAGTTACTTACTTTGGGATCAGAGCAACGTGTGTGTTGTCTAATACGTCTTTATTTCTACTATTTACAAGCACATTTTATTGTATCAAATTTTAAATAGTTATAATGTTAGTTAATAATTAATTTTTAATGCGCTGTTCTATTCGGCATGTTGTGTTCACGTCTACTAGGACGGGGATCTACTCCCGTTTTTCGTTGGAAACAATTACTGTTAAATAAGTAATACCCGACCAAGTCAAAACACAATGTCAAGTATGAAGCTAATTTATACTTTTAAGGTAAAATAAAAGCTTAAATACTAGAAAGTAAAACTACGATTTTTAAATTATATGAATAAAATTCGGTCCCCGCGGCAAGGTGCTCAAGATGCTGGCAGCGGTACCCCTTTGTATGGCTATGCTAATGAGTTGGGCAAGGTAGCTGCCGACCCTTGGGTTTCCCAGATAGACTTTTAATTTTAGTATGAATTTCATTAGCGTCATGCGTCTTTTAATTTAACGGAGCATTACTTATTTGACTGTAATTGTTTCATGTGAGAAATTGAGTAAAGTCCCAGTATCCAAGTCTTCAGTAATAAAAAAGTAACATAATGTTCCAGACAACTACTGCCCTTATTATAATAACTAACGTAATCGACATTTAAGTGAAATTGAGCTATTAACACGTCTGGAATCAGCGATTCGAGATCTAAAACCCCCTTTAAGCGGTTTTATTTATGTCTTATTTAGTTTCATGTATTTTTGTTCAGCAAAATCAGCGTAATCGACATTTTTTGAAGAAAAAACTAGGTATTTGGTACCTATATCTTGACTTCTAACTATGACTTATGATCAATGGTGGGTAAAAAGATGTTTCACATATTATATAGATACATGTATAGACATAGCTACAAGGAGCGACATAGAGTTGTTAAAACCACCAAATATTAATTAATTACTTTTTCGAATTCCGTATTTCCGCGATTTGTTTCACTGCATACAAACTACTGACTTAGGAAGACGAAGTTGAATTGTAAAGTAATTCTAACCATGCCATGTAAAATAATGCAGTAGTAGTTTTGTCTTACGATGCAGTTTAAAACCATTTCCGGAAATCCGGAATTCGAAAAAGTAATTTATTAATATTTGGTGGTTTTAACAACTCTACGTCGCTCCTTGTAGCAATATCTATGCATGTATTTATATATGTGGAACATCTTTTTCCGACCATTGCTTATGTATGACAAAGTGGGCAAACCATTGGATAGCCTAATCTACTAGCAAATAAAATAATTAATTTCAAAAAAAAAAAGGTTGCCTATTACATCCTTGGCTTACACAAAATCATCATTCAACATTTATAAAGTATCTAATGACAATTTAAGTGGAATATTTATGAGACATGATGATTGTATGATTACCTGTTAATAGGCATTATGTTCTGCTTGTTAAAGGTGTAAGATTACGATTATGTGATTATGAAATGAAATGCCAATGGAATGATGATAGGAGTTAATTAGATACGCAATGGTATTTAATTTAGCTTTGTGTGTACCAGAAAGCACGTGGATGTATTAAAATAACCTCTCATTTTATTAGTTCATGAAGATACAATAGCTAAATATAAATTAAAAATAGTTAAATACTTAATTTATTTGACATGAAATTCAATAAAAAAAAAGAAAATATTAATTAAAAACAAATTTGTTCGATATTTGAAATAAAGTTAAACTATCTATTTTGTCGTGTCATTTAAATCTAGGCTTTAATATTCTACCCGCCAAAATATGGCAAAAGCCAAAAAAATAAATCTTATAGACCTAAAACCTTAAAGCTCTACGGTGCACGATGACCCGTAAACAGTGTTATTTTTAAATCACCTGAAACCTCATGACCTTTGAAAAAAATAATACTCACTTTTTTTCACATTACATACCAACCGAAGACGATTCCTCGCTTCGATCGATCGTAACGATAATTGTACCAATCCGTTGCTACCCCCTTGGCGTTAAAGTTAATCGTTGACATAAATCGATTAGTCGTTTCGATCAGTCGGAAAGTACGGATTGTGAATCGTCTCGTGTATAGGGGCCACAAGGAGATGGTTCGTAGTCCCAATGCGGGTTGGAGGGAGACTTCACGCGATTTCCAAGTTGTCAACTTTCTTCGACATACAGGCTTTATTAGCACCATATTATTAATAAACATTCACAATGTTACGTTACAGGAATTTGAACTATAGAGAATCAACCGCTTTCCCAGTGGGTTAACACCGCTTACGTGACTTCTGCGACCGCCCGTCACCACATTATTAATTTTATGTAATGAAGATATTTCAGTCAGGGTGGTTCCCTTATGTCTTTTAGAACATGACGTAATCGAATAAAATGAGACAATTTTTGGCTTATTTGTTTCATAGTACTGTGATACATTTTTTCTCAAGTAAGTCTGTAAAACTAGTTTTTAATATGAAACTTTTCAATGCAACTTCGATATGACAGTGAAATTGTCAGGAACTCCATTAAGAGCCGACATGCAGCGTAATTAAAAAACTGTTCCAACTCATCTGATCATACTTTGGTCGATTGCAGGAAGGCAAATAACCAATATCAGATTTTTCAAACTTAGAACAATTTTGGGAAAAATAAGATTCCCACTTTGTTCCAAGACGTCAGTGAGAAATGCTAAAATTGTTCTATTGATATTTCAATAGAACAATCTATAAATCAGTGAGAAATGCTAAAATTGTTCTATTGATATTTCAAAAGACAATTTTTTGTCTGTAATAACAGAGAAAAAATTATCTAACTCTGTCTGATGATGTCATATTCTATAGAACAAATGAGAACTACTCCTCAATTTAAAGACGAATAGCGGTTTCCTTTTGCAGAAACCGTGCCTTTTCAAAAATGTTAGTCCAGCCACCCAATTAATTGCTTTATGCATTATATAGAGCAAAATACTTACAATAAACAGACAGCGACGTGTACTGAATATCAGTATCATCTGAAAGAATTGATTTTGCTTCATACATAGTCCTGTGCAAAATTAACTTAACAGTGACTACAATTTACTAAGAAAATTTAAGACAAATTGTATATATTGGTTATTTAAAAAAGATTGCATTACACAGAATTTTAAAATAAACCATTTTAACAAAAAGCAAAAGTAATACAAGTGGGTTTTTCGTTTTGAAAAATAAAATTAAGTTTTGTGAAAAGAAATAAAAAACTTTCCAAACAACCTTTAAAAAAACTAAAGCTGTGTATAGGGATACTACAGGACATTGCTACATTAAACAACGTGTCTAGGTTAGGTTTGCAAGTGTAAAGGTACCTTAACTTTTATCATAACAGATTTTTACATGTTACTGTATTTCTAAACTTTTCCAGTCTCATATCAATGTTATGGCAAATATTTAAAATACATCTGTGAACACAACATCATCATAATCGTCAATTTATCGCAAGTCCCATTCCTGGATATGGCTAACCCTCCACCACCATTGTTGGGTCAGGATCCAATGGAAACTTCATGTTTTCCAAAGGATATGTAGTTTTTTCAGATAGGTGTCACTATGTTTTCCTTCAATCTTAAAGAGAGGTATTGGATATAAATATTCACAAACATACATGACTCAGAAATTAAAGGCGGTAGATACACGCCATCAAAAGGGCAAGGGTAATTAACTGGTTAGTATTCTTTATCTAATTTGAGTGGCATATTTTATAATATAAATTTTTGAGAATATTATCGTGAAATATTAAATAATAGTTCAGGATACTACACTCGAATATTAAGTCATAATTAATGATAAATTGTAGAATATTTATATAATAAAAATTGCCACCAAAATTAGGTACAGAAAACTAACTTGAAAATTACCTATAAAAAAAATCAACCTCCCAAATAAGACGCATTCCCCCAATAGGCTTACATACTTTCAATTATATTTGAACTGCATTCTTAAGATTATTTTTATGGTTGAGAAAGCTGTTTCTATCTGTGTACTTACTCTAGGCTGTGTACTTACTTAGAGATTGTACAATTTATCAAAGTAATTTGTGAGCTTAAGTAGCAGTACTTACAACTATAAAAGAGTCCCCACTTAGGTAACCCAACGGCAATGGCTCCAACTATGAAGCAGATAAAGCCAACGACGACTACAGCTATAGAATACAGAGCCTTGCCGTTGGCCATGGCTGCATGACTCTGCCAAGCTTCTGGAACCTTCTGCACATCAGGATCGGTGTGTCCGGTGAGGATTGGGTAGCACCATCTGTTAATAAATTTGACTTTAAAATTTTTTTTCAATAACAATTATTCATTCTATAAGTTTAAAAATTGAATTACGCTGTAAATATTACTGCTGACAATAAGTCACAAAACAGCAGAAATAGCTCAATTGAAGCGGAGAAATTGTTTTCTTCAAATGGAGGTGAAATAAAAAAGATCCATCCTGTCTAATTAGAGGGCAGCTTTTATCGTATTTTGGTCACATCACAATATGAGTGTTAAATAGAGTCAGAACCCACATCTTTGATACATTATCTTAATGTATATATAAGCGGGAGGGATATAACCCATTGTTTTAGTGATTAGTTCTACTACAATCAAAGATAACAATCACCTGTTAAGTAGTACTAAGCCACTCTACTAAAACACTAAGATAATGCAGACAGGGCATTATGAATCCTACTAAGTTTTCAGAATTTGTAACATAGGACATTTTTTATAATATAAAATGACGGGATGAACAAGTTGTGAATGAAACAAAACTAGACCAGCTGTCAGCCGTGACCAGCAGAGCTGCTTGTGAAAGATTTCGTTCAGGGAAGTATGGCCACCAACCTATTTCAGTAGAAATGTTTGGCAGTAGCCAAACAGTCAAGTGAACATTGCTGCGTTCCGGATTTGAAAGGTAAGGGTGCTGGTGAAATCACAAGCACATGGGATTTGAAACAGTACCTCTCAGATCTTTGCGAAAGCTCTCTGTGACACAGCGACTGCTACAGACAGGTGCGTTTTGTGTGCTTACCATCAAGCACAGGACTTATTTGTCCTGTCCTATCACTTGGTATAATAAAAAAAAATATATATGATCATGTTTGAAAAAATTTATATTTGAGAAAATTGTCTCCTTTCCAATAATAAATATTCTTAAGTTGGATTAAAAGGCTCATTGTTAAGTTGGAACTTGGCTTTAGCTTAACTTAGCGTAGTTAGTGAGGGCGGGCATGAAACCTTTGCAGTATCATTTGTTCACAGCTTGTGACATGTATGTTTACACTTGAGTACACAATTCGACAGGAAATTTGTGTCGTAAAGAATAGCAGCCGGTTGTGGGCTAAGTTACCGATGCCATACAAAGAATCCCAAACCAAAACAATACCACAGACTATGTTGTCAAAATATTCCTATTGGAAACAACACATACAGCCCAATTCGAATCTCATCAGAAACCAATCGGATTATTTCTACGTTGAATACAAGTTTTAATGCCAGCTACTAAGACTAGAAATACAGTTATCCACGTTTTTACTCACGTTTGCAAACTTCTGTAAAGAATTCGCCACACAAAATTCACCAATATTCAACTGACAATGGATTTTATAAAGACACCGTTAAATATCATTTACACATAACATTTGCGTACAACACTTGTTTTCACCTGAATGCACAAAAGTTCACTTCACGATTCAAATTTCGAATCCGCGACACACCTATCGAACAAAAGGCACTACATTAAAGCTCTACTAGGGACACTGCCACTTTGTTCATTACACTGAATGATACAGAATAAAATAATCAAATGTAACTGTACTGAAAAGTTATTACTGATTTAATCTTCGTGAGAAAACACGGACAATGAGTTCCAGGGCAGAGAGCAGCTTGCTTACACTATCACTACGCGCGACGTGAGAGAAGAATGTGGTCGGTACACAAACTGGTTTTTTGATTTCTTACATGTTGAGTGATGTACGCTACGTTGCCAGACAGAACTATCTATTGTCATTTAATAATGTTGATGTTGCCGTCCCTTTTAGGCAGATAGTAAATTCTTCGTGTTAAACAAAGATACAGCAACATTTTCAATACTATGGATAAAGCTGTCAAAGTTTAAGCGCGTTCCATTCAAAAGTAAAGAGCGTTAAAACCCGGCAAAACTTTAAGCTAATTAAAAGTATTTTTAGTTTTATTGATCAGGTATTAAGTTGGAAAGATACCCGTAACATAGATCAAATAAAACCGAAGTTTCACCAAGTATCCAAAAGAAACCACTTTCAGGAAAGAAATAGGTACAACATATAAACTACTTTATTTGTCCAATTCAACACACGAACGAATTTTAAAAATATATATTTAGTAAATTGTGATAAACTTCATTTAATCATATTAGACTGAGCAATATTCGAATTAGTAGATCACACAACAACGTCATGCCAGCGCGAGGCCAATCTATTTTTGTGTTCGCCAGCGTTAATAGAACAGAGAAAACTTATATTACGAACATGTAATAAATATCTACTGTTCCCAATTGTGTTCATACTTGCTTTCGTTTTATTTATAGTATTCAGTTCGGATTCAGTGTTATAGCCTTTTTTTCAATATTCTCAATTAAATTCATTTTCTTTTCCAGAGTTATAGCAGTTATTTGTTATAATGATTTATATGTGTATTATTGCATTTTTGTGTTCTTCTGTTCGTAAGTAGTGCCTATTCGTTGGTATTTCCCGTTTATGTTTTGAAATAGAAAATAATTCGAAATGCAATTTTTGGTTAGGTAATTTGAAAAGGGAAGCGTCCTACACGATTTAGATGCGAAACTTAAGTAAACTAACTCGTGTTTCGTTACAGTTGGAGTTATAACAGAAGCACGACCCAAACTTGGCTGTGATGAACAAGGAGACTGCTTGTCAACCCCTGCCGATTGCAAAGAAATATGTGGCTGTGACAAGTAAGTAATACCTAGAATTATAAAAAAAAACACTTGATTTTTTAATAACTTATGTATTCGGTTTTTGTTCCAGGATATATATTTACAACAAGACAACAGACGAATGTGTACTAAACGTGCAATATTTTACATCAGTTACTGAGAAATATCACACTGAAGGTAACATAATGTGAAATTTACCAAAACGTTTGAGAATAATTTTAATTTATTATTATTATTATTAATTTGCGTTTTATTGAAAAAATAACCATTGCGAAAACCTAAAAAATCGATTTGTATTGTATTTTCCAGAGAAAATCCGAAAAGAATCTGAAAAAGTTTTTGGTGGGATTTTAATGTCCGCAATATTGTTTGTTTCTTGTGCTTCCTTGTGTGCTGTGACTGCCTGCATTTATTGTTGCCGCATACATTACATGTAAGCATTTAACTCGTATACATTGTACTAATGAACAAGGGAAAGATACCAGAAATTTGAAGAGTATTATGCGAAATAGGAAAACACTTATCATCATGGAATCGAATCAATCTGGTCAGTAAAATATTTATGTTTTTGTAGTAAGAGCGAAACAAGATATCTTTTTCACTCTTACATGATGGAGGTAAAGCTTTTGCTCACCGGCTCATGCCATTCCGCATTAATAAGTGTGATGTTTCTTATATTTAACTATTACCGCGCTTTATTTTATAATTATGTAATATATAATTATATATAAAATGTAAGATTTGTCAGTATGGTTTAGACGCCTTATCTTACTAAATACGAACAATTTTACTATACTACTTATTACGCATTTACACCGAGTCATCAGGCGACTTTCGCTTGCCCGCCAAAGGCGGCAAGCTACCCAGTGTAAATAGTGAGCCGTCTGACGACGGTAGTTTGCAGCCGAAGTCGACCGAAGAGACTGGGTGTGTCGCCTTCGGCAGGCGAAGTTATCTGCCGAAGGTCAGCAGACTATCCGATGTACATGCGCCATTACATAATGTGTTCATTTTCAGGGATGTCAGACTGCATAATGACGTTAAGGCTTTGGCACGTAAACTTGACAGAGATGGCAAGCTGAAAAAGTCTCAGAAGAAGCCCCTACCACCCGTGGCTGAAAGCTGCAACGTTATTGTAGAAGACGCTGGTGTCTTTGTTTGTTAAAAATTGATAAACTGAAGAAAGTATTTGATAAACAGTCTAATACTATTTCTAAAAGTTACTTGTACTTAAAAGACAGGCTCAATTTACATTGCCGCGAATCGGAATGGAAGCGAATTTCTATACAGCTTAATGATCTTTATGTCAATTAAGAATTCCCTAGATTGCGCGAGACTTCGCCAAAAGACGTACGACCGGTTTTTGGCTCATAATATCTATTTTGTCCGTTACTCAATTGACAAAAAGTGCATTATGCTATGGTTACAAAAATTTGCTGCCATTGTATTCCGTGGGAATATAAAGTGAGCCTTAGAAGGAAAATTATATTGATTGTTATTATTATTACAGTCATGTTCAATGATGGCAAAATGCTGTGACACATTTTTTCTTTTTTTAATGTTTGCAAACAAAACAGATAAACTAGCTAACGTAAAATATTTTACGTTCTCCTTTAGACTCTCTGCAACTGAAATCTTGGATTTATTTCAGTATGAATAAAACTAATATTTAACCTATTTATACTATCTTATATTTATTGTGTATTGATAATTATGTAGGTATATTATGTTTCAATATATTATAATATTTAATTTGCATTTTTCTTCTAGGTACCTAATCCATATTTGCAAATTTCATATACATACCTACATCATACATGCTATAAAGGTAAACCTAATTTTATTTTCTTGTTGTTCATATTCATATATTATCATCAACACATTTATACATCCCAATGCTGGGCATGGGTTTCCTCATAGGCGAGGGTTTTTTATTAATATGACATGTATACCTACTATACATTTTTCAAGGCGAAAGTGATTAGGCATTATTTAGATGTGCATGTTCCATTTTCGGCCTCATCGTTACTTTCCATCGTGTGTGAAGGAGGTCAAATGCGTACTTCCTTTATCATGAAAAAAGTTTGATTTTCGAATAGTAGATACAGTATTAAATGCTTGGGGCTTTTATCATGGCTTTTAGAGAAAAGTCTCTTACGCCGTCTATTTTCCTATATACACAATGAAAATGCTTTTGGCGGATTTTGTTGTGTGTATGCACACAAAACTGAAAAACTGGCAGTAACCAAAAAATATAAGTGAATTATTAATAATAAATATTAATTTTGTCAAAAATAAATAGTCTATTTAATTCGTTTATCTTACTAGAGAGATAAAACTAGAATCAATCCGTATAATCCAGGCAGCCTGATAAAGCCTGCCTTTTAATAAGCCTTATAATAAGCTCTAATTTATTCTATTTAATTTTGATTTCGATGTATAGCCATTGGAATAAGTGATTATAAGCTTATTAGTTTATAAGCTTTTATGGTTATTTCATTGGAATTTAAGAAGATTTTTTGGTAAATAATCAGAAAAGTCTGAGTTGAAGTGAAAAAATTGTTGTATTAAAGTTACGACATAAAATTTTTGAATCCTTGTCCGGCCGGATTTTAAGAAGTGGCAATCATGGGATTGCATGTATAAGCAGTTATGACTGCATATAAAAAATAGATGTCTTTTCCACAAACAACGACGAAAAACCTAAAACATAAATACTCAACCAAATGATTTAACGGTTATTAAAACAATATATTGTGCACCTAAAGCGCAGGCCACACTGCGAACGAAGCTAGCTATCTAGCAACTATGTCAGATAATGTAAGAGTCGTATTCCAGAACTCTACTCAATGCTCAAGTCAAGACTTGAGTATGATTTAAAGCACTAGAAATCATACTCAAATCCTTGCTATTAGGGTCGTATTTTCAGTACTTGAAATCATACTCAAGTACTGACTAGAGCATTGAGTAGAGTTCTGAAATACGACCCTAACTTAGCTAAGCTCACGTAGTTAGTTGCATGAATAGCTAAGCTACGAAAATACGTAGTAAGTAGTGACAATTGATATGTCGTTGGGTTAATTTAGTTAGTCCGGTTAGCTTAGTTCGCGATGTGACCCGAAGTATGAAAAAATGCTCCGGCTATGTGAGTTAAGCTAAGTTAGCTTAGCTTCGTTCGCGGTGTGGCCTGGGCAGAAATCTTTTCAATAGCTGAAATGCCAACTACGAAATGATAATGGAAAACAAAATGAAACAGCTAAGTGTTTTTCCTATTTTTCATCAAAACTCAGAAAAAAATACTAATATAATATGAAGAGGTTCTATGATAGAACCTTTGCCTCACAGAACACTACACTCCCAACTTTGCCTGCCGAAATAAAAGGCTACAAGCTTGAAAAATATGCCTTTTCTGTCATTTCTCGCGTGTCAACGGCTGAAAAGTAACGTTTCCCAAGTCCTTATAGGATGGAAAAAAAAGTCTTCCCTAAATTCATTGAATGGAACGCGCCTCGATCGATTTTTCTACAGATTTATTTACAAATTTTAGTGCGTTGAAAATGACTGTTTATTTTCAATAAATTGAAGCGAAATGTGAAAAAGTTGTGAAACTTTTCGCGTTTAACTATTTCGTTCACACAGTAAGTATAAAAGGGTTTTAGTACGCGTAATTTTCACATTAGCCCTATCGCAATTGCGACGTTCATTTGTTTCTTACAAATCACCTGAAAATGAAGTTATTCGAAAACAAAAGCATTTTCATAACCATAGATAGGTAAATAATGAACAACGATTATGTTTTACAGGTCGCTCTGTGAGAAAATGTTTGATATGAGTTTGTTTGAACTAATGCTTGCCACTGTTGGTGTTCTGGTGGCATTGGCGTTATTGAGCTGCATTTGCTGTTTATCCATGAGATTAAGGTGCGTATAGAGCCTAATTAGCTATTAACTTGAATGAGTATTATGTTACAGAGCTTATCCATTCGTAATATTCTTTTAAATTTCCTATTCAATTGTCTATAGACCATAGTGAAATGACGTTGGTTTGTAAGAGTCCAGGAAATCCATTAGTGTCTTGAAATGCTAACTATCAATAGGAGATACTGAAAAAAAAAGTATAAGTCAATGGTTTTCTAGAATAGCGGTTTATATCAAAAGCATCTAAATACCTGATGGTTTAAAAAATCTGATACGTGTCTTCTGGATCGAATTGACAAATCATAGACCATACCAATGTTGCTGTAATTATTTTAATAAATGAAAAGCTTGGTACCCTGTTCATAATAAAATTTAGAATTTTCAGTAAAAAAAGGAACTATTTTGTATTAGGCCACTATTCTTGAAAAGCAGCTAAGTCATGGCTAAATGTTTGGTTGACAAAAAGTGTTTGGGTAGTCTGAGAAAGTCAAGAATACTAGACACAATCAGTCGAGTAATTACGTGTGATTGGATTTTTTTAGTATGGAATTACCCATTTTGTCATCAATGCATTTAAAAATTTATTTTTTACCGTGTATTTTCTAAACATTCCAAGATTTCCTTATGTTGTCAAGGTCGTCTCATGTTTATTTTTTGAAAGAAACTCAATTACAATAGTTTTTGAAACAAAAATTATAATAGTAATAATTTGTCGCTAATGTACTCAAATTTAAAATAATAATATGTAAACTTGTATATATAATCAGTTCCAAGAAGTCCCAGAATTTGCAGAACGGAATGTTGACATTATTCTTTAGTTTAGCTAAATTAACTCCCTTATTTCCGATCCCTGGAAATGACTGTGGAAGAAAAGCGTTACAGGAATCTTTATTTCAAACTACATTAAAACTATAGCACGGATCTGTACATGGTTCAAGGACTAATTAATTTGTAATGTGCAACAGACAGATGTTGCTCTGAGTTTAATTAGTTTCGAATATATTTTGTTTTTTTTTTCTTTTAACATTTTAACATTTATAGATAGATATACAATTTATTACTCACATACAAGAACAAAAGATTCGCTTATGGCCTGGGGGCCAATTGCAAATAAAATAATAATACAAAAAAAAACTTACATGAACAAAAACATAAAGAGTAATTTTCACAAGAAAAATTGTATGGAACAAAAAAGTTAAAATATATTAATAGCATTAGCAATAGTCCCTATGAAGATTCAACAGATATTCATCGATTCCATAATGAATTGTTCCCCCGGTTGTGTTAATTTTTGTATGGAACTCTAAAAAGTGTAATTTGATAATCACTGTTCATTCTTGATCGTATTTTTGACTGAACAGTGGGTTATTTAACTACCATTCTATTTGCTTTTTTTGTATTAATATAGATTCAGGATTGACTTCATGTATTACCTCAAATCTAAGTTGTATTTAAACTAAAAGTTTTATTTTTTGGAGTTTTTTTATCAGGCTCAGAAGCATATTCATTAATTCTTGTGTTAAACACACAGTTAGCTTAGACATTGCATTGAAGGATATTGTTTAGCGAGTTCATAGCTTAACATGTTTTTGTTCCTAAATTTTCAGTGACCTCAAATTGAAGAGCTACATCCTAGAACTGGCAAATAAGAAAGGCATAAAAGTGGATCCGGATAAATTGGATGGAAAATGCGTCCAATCACCTCTGGCAAATCAAAATTGTGCAATTTATGTACCTGACGTTGGTATAATACTTTAGTTTATAAAAATGTCAAATTTCAATTTGCTTCTTTGTATTAGTAACATTTTTCTTATACTCGTTATTGAGTAATTGTAATAATTTCCTATACAGTTACATGCCCCGACTAGATGAGGTGCAATCATTCAGAGCTTGGACTTGACTCAGAACTCTGTTTGGTGGTCTGCTGCTTAGTAACAATGCTGCTCATGTGCAAATCTGTAAAAAATTATGAATGTAAAAACTGAGCATAAACCTGATCATCAAATGTGTCCAATGTTGATAAAAATCAACCTTATTTGAATGAATTTAAGGTAGACTTTAGTTTCATGCTATAGTGTGCCTTAATTATTTTGAATAAGACATTTTTTTGTGAAATATATACATATTGTGGTTAGTTTGAATGCTTAGGGTCGTATTCCAGAACTCTACTCAATGCTCAAGTCAGGATTTGAGCAGACTTGAGTATGATTTCACGCCCTGGAAATACGACCCTAATGGCCAAGGACTTGGGTATGATTTTCAGTGCTCACTGCAATACTCAAGTCCTGACTTGGGTACTAGAACTCTACTCAATGCTCAATTCATGATTTGAGTATGGTTTAAAGCACTCTCACAAGAAATCATACTCAAGTCCCTGCCATTAGGGTCGTATTTCCAGTGCTTGTGTTGCCAGTGCAATCCTGACTTGAGCATTGAATAGAGTTCTAGAATACGACTCTCAAGAGTCATAGTTTTTATGACATTAACGCTATTATCTATTCAGAAAAGATCTGTGCTCAGTGGAAAAGGGTTTTATGAACATTTTTAAAACCATAATGTATTAAATTTACCAAATTCGAGTTGGGGATACTATTTTAATTAAATTTTATAAAAATCCGCAATTTATATGTTCAACAACAAAAAAAAATACTCACAATTAATTTTTTGTTGGCCATGAAACATCAAAGTTCTGCCAATTTATTATTTTATATATTTTTTTATGTCTTCAAGTAA